GAGCTTGCAGTGAGCTGAGATCCAGCCACTGCACTCCAGCCTGGGCGACAGAGCAAGACTCCGTCTCAAAAAAAAAAAAAAAATTCCAGAGGTAACTAAGTGCCCATACTTCAACTGAACCTTTGATGAGTGCTACCCAGTACTCCAGTCCCCACACACTCAGTTAAAATAGCAACCTTTTCCCTCATCCCTAAGAGGGATAAAATAACAATCTAAGAGGGAGGGAAAGAACAGTGTTTCTTGGGACCAGACCTGATATCAAGGTTGGCTGTTTTCAGCAGTGGAAGCAGCACTGCGCTATTGGAGTTTCCAGGCTAATTAAGGGAAATTTTTCCCACTTGGTGAAGGCTGGGGCCTCAGGACTCAGGCTTCCTAACATTTTGGGCACCCAGTTAAAAGATCAACAGTCCCCTTTCCCTTCAGCATGTGACTCACCCCAGGGCAATGAATTGGACCCACTGCTCCATCTACATCTATATCCCTATAAATCATGGATTTATACATATTGGTATATGCGTTTATAATGCTTGTAATATATACTTCTATTTCAACTTACATATATATATAATGTAACAATTTCAACCTGTAAAGAGGTAAGTAGTCACCTCACCTATGATGTGGATTAAATAAGACGTGTCAACGCAGCCATCCTGCCCCAGCCGACCAGACCTTAATGCTCCAAAACCATCAGTTTGCGCCTGGAAAACTGGGGAAAGTGTTTATTCCCTTACACACGCTTCGCCAAAGGCCCTGACACTTAGGGCTTTTTCACTGCTGCCAACGTTGGACCCGCTTGTGAGGAGTACAGTTAATCTAACTTTGGTACACTGTATCCAGAGACCACAGAGGGCTCGCTCTGCGATTTATGGTGCGAGGAGGAGCAGACACCCTCTGTGCCCGTCCTACTCCTGCAGATTAAACTCAAAGCCACACTTTCCAGAGTGAGAAACGGACAGTAAATGAACGCAGGAACCACGGTGCGCAGGCAGAGAACCCCGCCGGGTTTGCTACGAAGGTTGCAGTGGAAGCGCCCACAGCACCAGGCGCCACGGCCCGGTGTGTGACCTCACTAACTTCCATCAGTGCGCACCCTGTCCTGCCCCTTCACGGGCGAACAACCCCACACGAGGCAGTGGTGTGGGAACCAGCACCCGGAACCGTAAAAGCTGGGCTTTCCCCGAGCCGAGGCACTGGACTGGCACCCACTGCTCATGCCCCAGAGCAGCGACGAATGGGAGCCCGGCGCACAGGGGCGGAGGCGCGCCCGGGCAGCTACGGAGAAGCGCCAGTCATCGACCAATCAGATCATCACCGTCAATGTCATCGACCAATCAGAGCCCACCGCGCCCCGGCCCTGAGCCAGTTGCTTGTTCCGCTGCGGGAGGGCTGGGTCAAGACTAAGCCTTTGCGGGAGAGGGCAATGCGGTGGGCTGGAGAGAGGCCGAGGGCCGCTCGGGTCTGGGAGCGCCGAGAGGACGGGACGGGCAGGAGCATGCCGGGACCCGCGGGGGGAAGGGGCTCTTTCCTTACCCCACACAAAAAGATGTGTCCGGGTTGGCCACCACTGCCCAGTGTTGCGGCCCCAGGTGGACGCTTCCGTGCGCGCATCCCTGCCCCGCGCGTGGCCGGGCCATTCCAGGCTGTGGGCTGCGGGCTCTGGGCTCCGAGGATCCGACACTCTGGGGAGTGGACACCCCTAGGGTCACACAGACAGGGCTTTGGACACCCACAGGAGCACACACATTGGAGAGTGGGCACTCCTGGGCTCACACAGACCGAGGTGCAGTGAGGTAGGGCGTGCCCGCCCAGGGGTAGTTGGTGGTGGCTGAGGGTGAGGGCAAGGTAGGGACTGGGAGGACACTTCTGGTTCCCTGGCTGGGCCAGGGTTTTCCTGTGCAGATGAGGGGAGTAGGCCGGGGCCTCTGGTTGGCGGGGAGGGCTCCAGGAGCCTGTCCCAGTCCTGCAGGCGTCTGGCTGAGCCCCACAGAAGAGAGCTCTGAGATGGGCTGTGCAGCAGGGGAAAGAAGAGGGAGGTCGGTCGCCTGTTCTGGGTTCTTGACCATTCACCACTGGTGGTGGAACCTGGAAGTCTGAGGGAGGAGGGTGGGGAGGCGCTTGAGGGACGGGGTCTAGGCGTCAGGAATGATAGCTTTTTGATCCAAGTTACTCAGTAATGGATAATTTTAACACGTGCCAACCTCTTCTGATTACATGAATAATTTCACTGCGTCTTCACAACAACCTTAACTACTATTATCATCGTTGCGTTCTGGATGAGAGACCTAAGGCCCTGTAGGGGTTACCAGAAGGCACACAGCTGAGCAGGGCCAGGGTCAGGCTGTGCACTCTGGACTCTGTTCTGACCACTGCATCATTGACTCTACAGATGTCTCTGCTTTCTGTGCTCACCCTGTGCTCATTCCGCCCCCGGCAGGACTGAGGGCCCCTGAAGCATCCATTTGCCCACAGCACCAGTGAACTGTGTAGAACTCTCTGTGCGAGGGGGCTGGCCCCTGCGCACTCTTGAGTCGTTTTTCTTCCCTGGTTCCCCAGGCAGGGGCAGTGAAGAGAGGACAGGGAAGCCTTGTAAGAAGAGGGCAGTAAATCACAGCATAGTTATCCAGACTGTGCAATTATTTACTTAGTGCATGAAGGGTCTTGTGCTAGGTGGTGGGGATACCGCACTGAACCAGACAGACAAGGGTCCTGTTCCTGCCTGCCCTCGGGGTGTGTTTTGGGAATTCCTCCTTGAGGGTGCTTTGGCATTGAATGGGCAGAGGTCTGGTGCTAGGGGGCAGCCCCACACCAGCAAGACTTGTAATGTACATGAATGTGAATGTCGTTTCAGGATGGTAAAAGGAGGCCTCCTGAAATTTTTTTTTTTTTTTTTTTTTGTCTGACAGAGTTTCACTCTTGTTGCCCAGGCTGGAGTGCAATGGCGCAATCTCGGCTCACCCCAACCTCCGCCTCCCGGGTTCAAGCGATTCTCCTGCCTCAGCCTCCCTAGTAGCTGGGATTACAGGCATGTGCCACCACGCCCAACTAATTTTGTATTTTTAGTAGAGACACGGTTTCTCCATGTTGGTCGGGCTGGTCTCGAACTCCCAACCTCAGGTGATCCACCCGCCTCAGCCTCCCAAAGTGCTGGGATTACAGGCATGAGCCACTGCGCCCAGCCGAAATGTTTCTTATTAAAAGGGAGCATTGGATCTGAGGGTTGGGAAATGACACTTCCTTAGGTCAGGCCTGTCCCAGGAAGCACCCCACAGTCAGGGGTATGGAGGGCCATGAGGATAGTACGGTGAGGGGAGGAGGAGGAGGAGGATATAACAATGTAAATTTTGCCATCTTGGCCTCAGTTTGGTTTTAAAGGACAGCAGCTGGACCCTCCCCATGTGTAGGACTCAATTAGTGGGGCCAGGGTGTGGAAGACAGCCCTGTGTCTTATTACCTACTCAGGGCCTGAGGTGTGGGAACCAGGATCTTATAGGGAATACCTTCCCAACAAGAAGCAAAATACAGAAGATATAAACAAGAAGCCAGGTGTAGTGGCTCACACCTGTAATGCAAGCACTTTGGGACACCGAGATGGGAGGATCCCTTGCACTCAGGAGTTTGAGACCCACCTAAGCAATATAGTAAGACCCTGTCTCTATAAAAAAACCTGGGAGGCAGAGGTTGCAGTGAGCTGAGATCGCGCCACTGCACTCCAGCCTGGGCAACAGAGCAAGACTCTGTCTCAAAAACAAACAAAAACCGAAACAAACAAAAAAACAAACTAGCTCTGGCCGGACGCAGTGACTCACCCCTGTAATCCCAGCACTTTGGGAGGTGTGCGGATCACCTGAAGCCAGGAGTTCGAGACCAGCCTGACCAACATGGTGAAACCCCATCTCTACTAAAAATACAAAAAATTAGTCTGTCATGGTGGTGTGTGTGCCTGTGATACCAGCTACTGGGGAGGCTGAGGTGGGAGGATCACTTGTGCCTGGGAGGCAGAAGTTGCAGTGAGCCGAGATCGTGGCACTGCACTTTAATCTGGGTGACAGAGTGAGACCGTGTCTTATGAAAAAAAAAAATACAAATATTAGTTGGGTGTGGTGGCATGGGCCTGTAATCCCAGCTACTAGGGAGGCTGAGGTGAGAGAATTGCTTGAACCCAGGAGGTGGAGGCTGCAGTGAGCTGAGATCACGCCACTGCACTCCAACCTGGGCAACGGAACAAGATTCTGCCTCAAAACACAAAAACAAAAACAAAAACAAAGGCCAGGCACAGTGGCTCACACCTGTAATTCCAGCACTTTGGGAGGCCCAGGCAGGTGGATTATTTGAGGTCAGGAGTTTGAGACCAGCCTGGCCAACATGGTGAAACCCTGTCTCTACTAAGAATACAAAAATTAGCTGGGCGTGATGGTCCGTGCTTGTAATCTCAGCTACTCCAGAGGCTAAGGCACAAGAATCACTTCCCAGGAGGCAGAAGTTGCAGTGGGCCGAGATTGCACCACGGCACTCCAGTCTTGGCGACAGAGTGAGACTCTGTCTCTAAATAAATAAATACATACATACATCCTAGCTCCAAATTACTGATGCCAATCAAGAGAGTAATAAAAATATGAATGATACGAAATGTGATATTAAAATGATTAGTAAATCACTATAGTCCATAATGGGAAAACTCATTCCATTATGTACTAAAATAACAAAAATCAGGCCAACACTTTGGGAGGCTGACGTGGGCAGATACCTTGAGTTCAGAGGTTTGAGACCAGCCTGGGCAACATATCAAAATTTCATCTCTACAAGAAATATAAAAATTAGCCAGGCATGGTGGAACATGCCTGTGGTCCCAGCTACTCGGGAGGCTGAGGTGGGAGGAAGAGGATGGCTTGAGCCTGGGAGGCGGAGGCTGCAGTGAGCCGAGATCATGTCACTGCACTCCAGCCTGGGCAATAGAGCCAGACCTTGTTTTTTTGTTTTTTTTCAAATCATTCTCATACTTTGATAAGGAAATATGCAACTTTTAAATGTTAATTTAGAAAACAACCAGCAAATGTAGCAAATGTTTAGTGTCCCCTAAATTAGTGTCCAAGGGGACAGATCTGGAGGCAGAGAAAGAAGTAGAAAAATGGAGAACAGGCCAGGCACAGTGGCTCACACCTGTAATCCCAGGGCTTTGGGAGGTAGAGGGAGCAGGATTGCTTCAGCCCACGAGTTCAAGACCAGCCTGGGCAAGATGGCAAAGCCCAATCTCTATAGAAAATAAAAAATTTTAAAAATTAGCACATCATGGTGGCACTGGCCTGTAGTCCCAGCTACTCAAGAGGCTGAGGTGGGAGGATCCCTTGAGCCCAGGAACTGGAGGTGGCAGTGAGCCATGATTATGCCACTGTACTGCAACCTGAATGATGGTGAGACCCTATCTCTAAAAAGAAAAAGAATAATCTTGGCCCCCATGTGGCACCTCACAGCTTGGGAACAACAATTTCTTACATGTTTCCTCAGCTCCAACCACCACTCACAAGCTGTGTGGCCTCGAGCAAGGCACCCACGCTTCTCTGGACCTCAGCTTCCCTGTCAGTACAATGGGGATAACAATAGTGCTTACTTTGTGGGGTCATCTGTGAATGTGAAATGAGTTAATAAATGGAAGGCACTTAGAAAAACCTCTGGAACCACTGAATCAAACTGGATATCATTATTGATCCCTCATTCAATCCTTCAATACCCATTTAGTGTCGTCTGTCCAGATGCAGGAGATACACCTGGCACATAGTGACTGCTCAGCGAGCAGTGTCACAATGAACATGTGCAATGGCCTTGAAGGCCACATCGGGGCTTGCCCTGATCGGCAGGTTGGAGGTGCTCCAGGACCGACGCTTAGCTGTGAGTGGGGATACGGGAGGGAGGTTGGAACTGCCACTGCAGAAGGAGCTCTGAACCAGGTTCAGGAGAGAGGCTTTGAACCTGCATGTGTGGGGAGCCATGGAAGTTTCCAGGAAGGACTGCAGGTCCCACCTGGAGATGTGCCGTTCCTCCTTTAGGTATTTTGGGAATGTCAGTCACACCCCAGACCTGCTCAGCTCCCCTACACTGCTGTTCCTGTATCTGAGAGCTTCAAGTCCCCAAATGGCCTACCTAATACATGGGGAAACTGAGGCCTGGGGAGGCCCAGGGACTGAGCTAGCATCCACTTGTGG